GAAAGAGTGCTGAGACAGAGGCATGACATGGACAGAAACACAGTTGTCTGCTGACCAAAGATAGGTTGCTGTTGGGGATTTTGTGGTGTTCAGATACGATCTGTACATGTAGCCAGTTTATAACTTGATGTTCTTTACAGCAAGTGTGAAAGAATCCTGGATAAGAACAGTATAAGTCTTTATAAATAGCAGTTCCATGAAATGATGTGTGTTGTCTGCAGTGAGCTGAGCAAACCTAGTTGCTGTTGTCTTCTGATGTTGCATGTGGACTTTTCAGGTGTGATTTTAAAGCTATGGTACTAAGTCTGATCCACAGATACAACAATGTGAGGACTTTAAGAGTCTTGTTTACATTTATTAAGGCTTTATCATTACAAAAAAAAAAGATAGAACATTTAGTTAACATCTGTATGGAAGGGTGAAGTCAGATAATCAGATGTCTAAAGAGATTTTACTCCTAAGACATTTGTATTATATTGGCCTTGAAATCTGTTCTTTTAGCCCCTTTCTGGAGAGGGTACATGTTGGAACACTCTTGGAGACATGCCTATAGTAGCTGGCTGGTTTGCTTTGCCTCCATTTCTCTGACCCTATTGGATTACATGTGTGAATCCTGGGTGGGGGGTCCTACATTTTCCTTCTTTGTAGCAGTAGGGGCCCCAGGGGATCTTCTAGCTTCGAGGTATTCAACTGCTCCATACATCACCATAGACAACACAAGGACAGACAATAAAATATACAGTTTGATGTAGACTTGCAATTTGGTGCTGTAACCAAAGGCAATAACAAATCCAAGTGATTCCCAGAGACGGTAATTGGCAAAGGCAGCCTCCTTGTTCTTCTCAAATAAAATTCCATAGAGTCCTAGAAAGAAGGAGAGAGACAGCTTATGAAAATTGAGTCTGAAACCATTTGTTTTCTGCAAAGGGAATAAATGGGCCACAATGGGGAAGATGGACCCTCCTTCATGAATGTCAGCAAAAGGAAAATACAAGCTTTGTCCTAAAACATTTTTGCACTCTTGTGGATTGTTGTAAGTGAAATAACAGAGCAAAAAATGACAAAATAGAGAATATCAGAGAAGAAGGGAAAGAAATTTGAGAAAGGAAGGATTCGTTCTATTGAGGTGAGATGGCAGGAAGTTTGTTTTTAAAATTAGCAGCCACAAATGGGAAGGTTCTTGCAGTGACAAGTAAGGAGGAAGAGGAGATGGCCAGGAATGGCCCTTGACATTGTCACGTCTCCATGTAGAACTATTGGTAACATTATACCAAGTCCTTACAGGCTTTCAAAGAATGGGCAGTTTTATTTAGGGACAGCTCCTTAAGGACCAAGTTGCTCTTTCAGTGTTGACTAGAAACGAACAAAGAACTATAGAGACCTCCCTGCTGCTGTCTTTTGCTAATTTTGTGGGAAACCTGCATGGACCCTGTATGCCCTGTCTACCTGTTCTTCAAACTGTTTCTTTCCCCTGCCTAGGAGCAGAGAGTGTTCACATAAAATGTGTTTCCCTTGTTTTCACAAGAACTTGGCCTTATGGAGTTCCCAGGTGAGTCTTGCATAGTGTCGCCAATGGTAGCAATGTGTGCTATCCAAACTTGCCAAGTTAAGAAAAACAAATTTACCCAAAACACATCAAAAAGTTGAGGAGAGCACTACAACTGGGCTCAGATTTAATATGCAGAGGATATTTGCCTCTCTAAGATGACCAGATAATTTTCAGCTCTTCAACAGGTTGGCAAAAATAATATCCTTGATGCATACAGAACCTCTGGGCCACAATGGGCAAATGTACTTGACATAGACCTGGTTAAACTGATCATCCTAATGCAGTCATGCTCATTGGGAAGCTCCCACTGAGTTCAGTCAGCTGCACACCCATGACTGGGACATAAGGAGGGATTCCCAGCCTCCAGGTCTGACTGGTTGGGCACAGAGGGAAGGGGAGAGAGCTTGGTTTTACTGTGGGTTTGAGGCTAGCATCAGTGGTAATAATGAAGCAGGCATTTCCACTGACTCAGCTGTGGTGGGCAGGGAGGGAAAGAATAAAATGAACTTTGACTCTTTTCATCCACTTCTCTAACAGCATATCTGTTTGAAATATGCACATTCAGCCAAAAGGCACAGAGGAGTACAAAATTCTCTAGAAGTCTGGATGGGCTCAACTACCCTTTAGTTTTGTTAAGATGGAGGAGATACTGTCTGTGTGTAAAAATTCACTGCTTCCTGATTACTGTAAGACAGTATTTGCTGGATGATTCAGTTTAGACATGATAGAAAACCTGGACAAGTGCATCAGAAGATGTACATAGTTCATTAAACTGCTGGAGTGTAGTGTGAATTATTTGATAATCCTTCTTAGTTTTGTTTAGTAAATGAACAAGTTGTTCCTATAACTTTGCTGATATGCCCTGTTATCTTCTGAAAAAGGATTAGTGAGAAGAGTTTAATATAGGATGGTTTCTGATGTGTAAAGACTCTGGTTTTCATCAGGTACCTGTTTTCCCTTGCGATTTTGAAGCCTCCTTTTTTAATAAAAACAATGGGAGAATTGTATGGGGATCAAGGTGCAGCTATAGGAGGAGCTCACTTGGCAGGAAAGTTCTTGTCTCCAGGATGCATATGTGGTATTAGCTGGCTATTACATAAGAGCACAACGGTGGGTTTGCCTCAAACCTAAATATGTGTCTTTATCACAAACACCGTTGAGTGCAATGTGGTACTACTTGCCTGGCTGAAGCTTTAGCAGGACCTGATGGGCTGGCTGAGTGGAGAGGGCTGCTTGCTCTTTACTCTTGCAGCTCATTTAATGGAAATTATCCTCCTTGCTTACTGCTGCCCATTTTCCCACTCCTTCCCCTGATACTAATAGGCATGGGTATATAACAGGACTCCTGGAAATCATTTGAGACCAGGTTTATAAACTTTCCAGAGTGATTCATATGCTTTCTAAAAACACACATCAGCCTGGAAAGAACTGTTTTACTGTAGTCTACCCAATAGCTCTCTGCTACACAATTGTTATGTGCCAAGTGCGGCCAGTTATTGCCAGGGGAGTAATAATAACATCTGTGTTTAGGTTAAGTAAGAGATGGCACTACATACTCTGAAATAAAGGAGCTTTCACTGGAATAAATGAGAATGTACACACATGTGTACTCGTTAGGAAACCTTTGAGATGAAATGACTTACCTACTGTGAGCCTGTATATCCTCTAGGGGGAACTCCCGTATTAACTATCCACAGCAGGCCAAAGTGAGTCACCACCATTACCATAACATGCCTTAAGTATGCGGCACAATGCCATAGTATCTATTCGGTGGTTAATCTACTGAGGCCCGAGCAGCAGTCATGGGAGCTTGCCAAAGGAAGGACTGCAGACCTCGGTCCCCAGTGCTGTTTCAGAGGCCTTATCTCACCTCATAGACTTTGGAGCTGGGAACTTCTCATGTGATGTTTCACTGTATAAAATGGATGAAGGGGAGAAGAGATTTAGTGCTTAATGGGCATGTCAAACTGAAGACCCTGTTCTGGCATGTAGCATCGTGGATTAAAGTCACTGCACCTCTCTGTTAAGGTTTCATGTCATCACTCCATTTTCAGTGTGACAATGAGATAAAGTAAATGCTGTATTAATTTTGTAACTGGGAGCTGTGGAACAGCTGAAGAAGGTACAGATGAAAAAACACACAGTGAAAGCATAAGAAACATTTTTTTCCCAACTAAAACAAACGTGTAATTTTCACACATATCCTGCAGGAATCTGGGAATGGAGATGACCTGTTACAGTGCTGTTATAAAGGTCAACTGTGTCACAGCACTGCAGAATTCACTCGCCATCCAGTAAGCACAGAGCTTTGTCTACTGTCTATGTCTCATCCAGAGTTTTGGAATTGCAGCTACATCTCAGCCTTGATCTCTGTCATTTAGGTCCTCTGTACTTACCCCTATTCCTAATGAGGGCACCAGGTACCTCTTCATCAGGCATGCAGGACCCTTGCTAAGGAGATTGCTTTCTCAAAAGACATTTCAAATGTATATAAATGCCTGAAAAGAATGGAGCCAGAGTCTTTTCAGTGGTGTCCAGTGACTAGGGGTGAGTGGCACAAACTGAAACACAGAAGGTTCCCTCTGAACATCCAGAAGCACTCTTTACTTGGAGCATGACTGAGCACTGGCATATGTTGACCAGGGAGGGTGTGGAGTTTCCCTACCTGGAGATATTCAAAAGCTGACAGGACATTGTTCTGGGTAACTGGCTTTGGGTGGCCCTGCTTCTGCAAGGGAAGTCACTGTGTGACTTCCAGAAGTCCCTTCCAGCCTCAACCCTTCTGTGATTCTGAAAGAAGCCAAGTGTCTGAGGCAAGGCTTTCTGGAAAAGAGAAGCAGGATAAAGGGCAGGTCCTTTACTCCAGTGGGACACTAAGATATGGCTCTCAAGAGTGTTGGGAAGGAGCCTGATGAACAGTTAGGAGGACTGTTGCTGAAGAAGCAGGAAATTAACAGCTTTCTTTCAATGAGAGCACATCCTTACTGATTATGTCTTTTCATGGACCTAAGTAATGAGAGCACTGGGTTTAAAATTGTACCAAAGGCACAAAGATGCATGTTGGGATGAAAGAAGATGAAGTAGTGTTGCTTGACCTATGTATTGGCTCTCCTCTAAGGGATATGAGCTGGACCTGCTCAAGGGGCAGAGAAGTCTGGCTTGTCACTTCCTTGTGTGTAGAGGGAGGACTGGACAGGTTCTAAAGAGGAGATTGCTTCTAGTGCCAGGCAGAAGACTGTGCTGTTTTCCCTTTGGCTCTCTAGGAGGAACAACATAATTTACCTAGTGGGTGAAATCATCTAAGTTTCTGAAGCAATCAGAGGGACCAAAGGGAGGGAGGCCAAGACACATAACCCGACGTGGTCCTGGATGAGCTAGTTCTGTCACATGCGTGTTCCTGTGGCACTTGCCAAATATGAATTTAAGAGCAAAAATTTATTCACGAAATTGAAGGCAAATATGGCAGCAGATGGGAAAGCATGATTTAAAAAGAGTGTGACTGACAGTGATCAGCAGAGTTAACTTCGAGTCATCACAGCCTATGGCTCTTTCTTGCCCTCTTCAGAACTTTAAGTCTGTCTTTAGCCTGCATAAGAGAAATTCCTCTAGTTTTGATTGAGTTTGATAAGTTTAAGCAATCTCTTATGAAATCAGTTTGTTACTGAACTGTCAGCACATTATTGCATTGTATCACAAAGCACTAGAACATAAAAGATTAGAAAAGCAACTATAATGCATCAGATAAGAAGTCCAACAATATCCTTCTAGTAGCAGACTCCTTCTAGTAGCAGACTCCTGGGATGGGAATGTAAGAAATGAGGCACAGTGATCTTTCCTCTCCAGTGCACTCCTGACTCTGGTAATCAAACACTTAGAGACTTTCTGAGTTGGAGATTTCCTCTGGACCATCAAGCTTTAATAGACCTTAAGAACACTTTCCCCTGAAGTGATGTAATTCCAGCTTACAAACATTTATATTTTTGGCAATTAATTCCATACTTAGATTATGCATTGTGTGGAAAAAAAGCATTTTGATTTTCATAAATTCTGCTGCCTGATAACTTTATTTGGTGACACTAGTTCTTTTATTAAGAGAAACAGTAAATTTCTAATTAGCTTCTCTCCATACTATTCATGAACTTACTGACTACTTTCCTTACTTACTACTTTTCCAGGCTTAAGTGTTCTAGTTTGTTTGTCTTCATGTGGAAGTCTCTCATTACTCTGCTCTTTTTTATTTCCTTCTTATCCTTTATCACAATTGGTTTTGATTTTTTAAATGGAGTAAATCATGGATCTACCTGGCTGCATAGTCTTGCTCTCTGTGGTTTTCTCCTTCTATTTTTTTTCTAATAACTCCTACAAGACAATTTGCTGCTTTTTTTGTTGCTGAGCTTTGAGTTTATTTTTTTTGAGAGAGCTGACCTTTATTGCAAAAGACAGACTAAATGTGTCATTCTTCTGAGTTTTCTCATTTTCTTTGAAATACTTGCACTCCTCCAGATTATTTATTATGAATGTCCATTATCATCTTCTGCTGTGTTCTTGTCTCTTAACCTTGGGAAGATTTGTTTATTGTGTATTTTACTTCCTTATTCTCAACTTGTTCTTATTTATTCTACTTTCCAATGAGCTAACGTATTTCTTTTAGATTCTGTCTTAAAGCCATTATAATTTTTTTGTATATGTTGTTTTATAAATACAAATATGCAGATTTTTATATCCCAAGAGAACTAATGTCATTGTCACCAGGACTTACCATTCGTTTGTGTCTGCCAAACGGCATCAGATAGGCCCCAAAGAGCAGGGAATACAAAAAATACAGCAAGCTGCTTAGGATGAGGTTTCCACAGTAGTAGTGCTATTATACAGGCAGTGTTTGTAACAGCGGCTGTTGATATAGAAAGAAAAGAAATTAAAATGGTATTACAAACAGGAGAGATAGCTATAGATAACATTTTCAAATTCTTCCCCAACTAGAGCACAAGGCAATCTTAAAATCTCTCTGGTTCATTGAGATTTGTGCTGACTAAGTTGGTATCACATGAAATACAAGACAATGCAGTCCTTTGGCAGGTTTCAATTCATAATTCTGAGCAGAGAGATCTTTCGTGTTGATATGGCTGTTAGCCCACAGGACAAGAACTGCCATAGAGTAGGAGGAGGAGCTGCTGAAAGACTTGCAGTCATCATGTGAGGCATGTGGGAAGGGAGAGAAAGCACTCTTCTGCTTTCCTTACCTACTCCTTACATGCAGGTTTCCTTTCAGGGCCAGAGTTAAGTTAAGGATATCTAGAACGACTGGAGAGTTTTTGTCTTTCTTTTTAGAAGCAGAATGTAAATGAGTCACTGATTCTTCCTCCCCACAGGAGCACCTTTACAGGCTGAGTACAAAGATTATTAAATAGAACTGAGAGGTTCAGAGGTCTTGCATTACTCATAATATAGGGGGGTTTTATTATTATCTGGGATTTTTTAAAATCTAAAATGATTTTCATAGAGTGAGAGATACACCTAGGACAGGCGTCTACAGAAGAATCTGAACTAAATTTTTTCTTCCTTGACCAGGTTTAAAATTTCCTGTGGAGGAAATGCCTAAAATATCTAGGCACACATTAACTTAGCTAGTGAAGTTTCTAACAATACAGGTTACTGTGTAGTGGAAGTAAGGTATCAGAACACTTCAGCATGAATACCTCAGTGGATAAAGGGACACAAATGAAATATTTCTTGGTATTTTTCTGCCTCCATTACTTTATTACTCATTGGAACAGTGTTCTCTGGAGAGGAAGATGTTCTTAAATATACAAAATTCTCCTCATGTCAACCTGAAAATTACTGACCCAGACAAAGGACTTTAATTTATTCTAGTCTGATGCACTGGCATATGGCTCTTTCTTTCGTTTTTCTCCCTATAGAGCAGGTAGTGAGAAGGATACCAGGCCAACTTTTAAAAATGTTCCTGAAATTCCTAGACTGGTTGCCTAAATTCCAGGTTAATATTCACAAGGTTCACAGTTCCTTTCACTCCATAAAGGTGAGGAAGTTTCACCCCAATGGAGAATCACTTTTCAAGTATTGTATAGACCTCAATATCTACATTGTAAGATCATTTATCACCATTTGCATTAGAGCTGTGAAGCATCAAAGCTGTAGGACACTTTTTGAGTAGACAGCACTCTTGAAAGCAGAGTGAGCTACACCACCAGCAAGTAATGTAAGGCAGTGACCTCAATACAATGGTCAACTGTGCTGCCTCTCTTCTCATGATTGAATTTTGCCTCCAGGTTGACTTTGGCTTTAATTGGTAGCTGACAGCGAGCTCTCCCTTTGTAGTACAAGCAAAAGAGGGAACAATGGATTTGATACGTTACATGAGGTGATCAGTCCTTCAAGTGCCCTTTACATACCTAACGCAAACAGAAGTTTTCTACCCGTAAACTGAGAGATCTTTCCAAAGATCAGGGAGCAGAGGGAATTTACAGCTGAAAAGCAGATCATCGCATAACCAACATAATGTATCCCCAGGGCACAGGTCACATACGTCTGTAAGAGAAGAGACAGTGGTAACGTTTTCTTCAGTGCAAATATGCATATAAGGTTCAAGGGTCTTAGCCTGAGTATTTGGTAAATAGCCAGCATGGATAGGATCAAAGGAGCACAGCTACAGAGTTTGCTGATAAGTCCCTGGCATACTGACATAGTTGGCCTTCAGCAGTGATATTCCTAACCCAATTCCCAATCAGACTGATGCCATGCAAACAGAGCAGTAACAAGTAGAAGAAACAGGAACACTGCTGACTATGCAAATAAACCTCCTGGAAGTGGCATTAAGAATTTTGTGCCCTTCATAGCCCAAGAGATGAAAATTGAGTCACCACTATGGTCATTACAGAGCAGCTCCCAAGAAATGAAGAGGTCCTCAATATAGAGTATAGGCAGTGGAGATGGCCACGGAGTGAGTGCCCCTTTCAGTCAATTCAAACACAGCAGGAAGCTCTCTCTTCCATCTGCTGATAATCAACTTTTGAAAGCTTCAGTGTTAAATAAGCAGCTCAGAAAGTTTGCCCCCTTTCTTTGGAGGCTTTCTCAATAAATGTCTGGAGAACCCACCTGCTGTGAGTCTAGGTTTGTAGAGGAATTGGAGGAGCAGAGGTGGTTTTGATAATTTCAGTCCATCAGAGTTTGGACCTGTTGCACTAATGACTGGTAATGACTTTCAGCCAGCCACATTGAGGGTTTATCCTCTTACTGTAAAAGTTCTCAAAATAAAATATGTGGTAAATGTGCTGACCTGCACTAATACGAACTCTCAGGAAACCAGAAGGAAGGAAGATATTGAAGCCTTGCAGTCTTCTGGCTTTTCTCCCAGATTGTTATTTACAGTTTGAACCTGTAGCTCTCTGCTCTCGCCTCCAGTGGTGAGTTAAGCTCTCTACAGCATTCTTTTTAAGGTTGTTCCAAGGGACATATTTACTGTTGGCCTCCCCTGTTTGAAGATGTCATTCAGAGTTCATTCAAGTAGAAGTAAGCAGTAATTTAGCAAACCACGAATCACCACAGAAAACTGATTCATTTAATGAGTAAATGTAGATCAGTTGTAATAGTAAGACAAAAGACACAAAAAGCCAATCAGACAGAAATACATTTTCATTGTCATCCACACCTTTGTGTAGTCACCAGAAAGAAACCCCTGTTCAAGCCCACTGTAAATTGTCAGAGGAATTAGAAGACACTGTCTTTTATCTTTAAGATGCTGGAAAGTTGCTAGGAACGTAGACCAAAAGGATGGTGTCTCTAGTATTTCTTTTTCAGTCTCTGCTTGGTCAGATTTGATCTGGTCCAGTAATATAACAATCAGCAACACAGCTAGCACACCACTAGCTGCAAAAACAAAACAAAAAGTTCATGAAAAAGTGAGGAATTTTGGAGGAATGATGGGAAGTCGCTTACTGTTGTTGTTCTGACTTAGTGCTTAGCTCTCTGTGGGATGTTTTGGCAGATACCTCTGATTCTGCTGCAGTGTAAAGGCCATTTCTGTGTAAACAAGGCCTGATCTACACTCACATCTTCTGCATACAGCTGCACACCTCGCAAATCCCCTCAGCTTAACTGTGACTAGCCTGTTGTGACAGCCTCTGGGCCAGCTGCACACCGCAGAGGGTGATGGCTCACCCTTCCAGGGCAAGCCAGGGGTCGTGGGGATGGGGAACTGGTGAGAAACAGCTCCCTTGGGAGCTATCAAAAGACTTTAAATCAACATGAGAGAGGAATATTCACTTCCAGTGCCAAGGTTTTCATGGCTGGGGGGGGCGTTCATGATCTTCCTTCAAATACATGGAAAGAAAAATAAAGGCCTAGAACTAGAGCTGCTGTCTTGGATCCCAGTACATCTTGCCCTTTTTTTTCTTACTCTTTTTGTTATGGGCTGATGGCAGGACTTAAATAGGGGAGAGCAGGACATCTACATTTACAGAACAAATATTCTAACAAATATCAATATATTCCTTGTCAAAGGAATCAAGAGTAATTATAGGAGATAAGTGACTGCATGGCTTAATAGTTGTTGGTATGAACAGAAATAGAAACATCCAGAGTCTCTGAGAAAACTAAACAATGCAAGAGTTAACCACCATTGTCTCCACCCAAGCTGGGAAAAATATGTATTCAGCAACCAAAAAGAGAAGACATTTTTAAAATGTCTATGAATGAAATATTTAGCTATTTGGTTTCCCTTGAGGTAGGAAAAGACATATTTTTTATTAAGAGCTTAAAAGAAAATTGAAACCCTACTGATGCAGGGTCAATAGACAGAAGGGTTGCATTCATTTTGCATGAGCAAAGCCTAAGGGAGTGCTGTATATGTTAGTCATCAAATTTAAATTTAAACTTGTGAGCCAAACCTGCCTTTAGCAGAAAGGCATCAGCTTTAGCACACTCTGGAAGGGAAGTGGAGGGGATGTTCTTTGCATTTTCTCACCAATTTGGAATTGGTTTGGGGAAGGAGGAAGGGTTTGCTGCAATGCACTTGTCCAGTGTGACTGGCTCTGACCAGATCACATACTCTCTATTTGAGTGTATGACAAATTCCTTGCATATGTTTCAGCAAGCATCTATATGCAGAGACTGCAAAGATATTTTAACAGAGTTAAGGTGACATACTGCTTTGCCACATACTTCAGCTTTATCTGGAGAAGAAATTGCTTTGAGCTGGATACTTTTGAACTTTCCTCACTCAATCCATCTTTGCGTATCTATTTTTGTCTTTCTGATTTTTGATGGCATCAGCCTTTCCTGTCTTTGATTCCTTTCTAGCCTTATGCAAAGAAGGTCTGGAGCAGCTGTAGTTACTAACCAGGAGACATGCCAGTTCACCTTGTGCTTCTTTTTTATCTTCACCTTTCACACTAAGATATGATTCAGGCATTACAGCTGAGAATTCAGTGAAGCTGTAATATCTCAGCAGCGATCCAAGAAACTCCTTCCAAATTATTGCATGTCCTGTGAGCTGTGGTAGAGGTCCACCTCTAAGTACAGTGCAGTCCTTGTGCTAAAGCTGTTTTACATATGGTAGGACACCAGCCAGTTCTGATAGGCGTCCCCAGATGACTAGAAGTTGGTGAGTTCAAATATCACTAGCTGGGCTGCTCTTAGCATCTTGGATCTCTGCTGGCATGTATAAATCTGGCCAATGCCATAATCGTTGACTATTTCTGATCCTGAAAATAGTAAATTTAAAACTATCTCATACATAACTGCATAAATGGCTGTAATCTGCTGATTGCAAAGTAGGCATACTACTGATTCTAGTCTGTAGAGCAACACTGACCAGTGGGGTCACCATTTCAGCTTTATTCCAGGTGAAAAGAGTAATGAATTTCTCACTCCTTTAGACAAAAATGATATGGCACTGCCATGAAGTAACTGAAACTATTTAAAAAGGAGTTGTTTACAGCTCTCACATATCTTATTTCCTTTTAGCAAACTGGATTGAAGAAGGATGTTGGAAACTTAATCTGCAAAGTCGTACTAGGTTTCACAAGGTTCCCCATCAGTGATATTCATTACAGATTGTGTGGATTACTTACCAGTGTAGATCCCTAGCAGAGTGTAGATCAAAGAACTGGAGAGTTCTGCTGTCCCAGTAGCATTAGTGGTGTCAGTCATGCAGTCGTACGCTCCACAGCATGCCAGTTTTTCCTCTGATATTTCCACTAATTAAGTAAAAACCAAAAGAAAGGCAGGACAGGGAAAAGGTCAGATGAGTGCACACTATACCTAAGTGTACAATAAGGGGATCCAGGTCTCGGTGATTGGTCCTGGTTTCAAATCATTCCTGATTAGAGATGTTTAACTTCAGAATTCCAGCTTAACACACAAGAATTTGGTTTAACAGAAACGGTTGCTGGGGACACAATAGTGGACTAATGGTTACATGGACTAAAGCCAGAGGCTGAAATCTGAATCCAAGCTCAATTGCAGTATTCAAAGTTCCAGTGTGTATCTGTACCTCTTAATCATAATACCCAACAAGACAGGTTCCTCAGTTTACACCACCACTGAGCAGACAGACATAATTTCTTACAGCCAGAGCCCATTAGCCCTCTCCAGGTAATTTCTGCACACATTACAGGAATGGAAACCACTTTGAGACATCTTTTTGGTTTATAAATTCAAATTACAATTAACCCACTACTGCAGTCTTCCAAGAAATCAGCTTTTCCAGGATTTATTACTATATTACTGCCTTTATTGCTTGAACATACTTGAAACTAGAAGAGTTCGGCAGGGTTGGAGGAAGACTTTTGCTTTATTGAACCCCATCAGTGTTGCGCTGGGCATGTAACAAAGCCACACACATGTGCGTACTCACACACTCTGTGTGACACCATGCCTAGATCCTCCAGTACCCTTTACTAAAATACTAGTATTTTAGTAAAGATACTAACCCAAAGCATGAGCCTGAATAAAGTGTGTAGTGTGGAAGATTTATCAAAACCCCATACAATTATTTCAATAATTTCACTGCAGAATTTGTCACTAATCCAAGCATACCAAAGGACAATACATAGTACCTTGACTGATTACTTAAACAGGACTTGATCTGTAATTTTTCAATTAAGGTTATTGTGTAACTACTTTTACTGTGTTTTCCCCCATTGCTTCCAATCAAAGCTGCTGTGATGTGAATCAGCTGTTTAACTAGCATCCTAAACAACTTTGGGTTCAGCATCAAATAAAACATAATAACATGAAGAAAATCATTACCTTATTCTAGCCAGTGGCTACTGCTGCACAGTTTTGAACAAACAGATGCTCAGCAAGATTACTACATGCAAAAGGCAAGTCACACTAGTGACTGCAGTACTGATGAGGGAGAAATTATGACTCATGTAATTTGCATTGATTGTTGTCCATTACTGTATTCTGTTGTAGCATTACCTCATGGTGTAGCTTGCCTTCCTCCCTCTGGATAGAGTGATGCAGACTATGTCAAGTGTACGTATGTGTCTGAGTTTTAGGCATTTTGATTCTGCAGATATATACCATATCTTTCTGACTCCTCAGTGAAAATATACCTTTTAAGTATGTGGACAGTATAGGTGGATATCTTTGCTGCATTGTCAGAGAAGCGCAAAATAAGTGAGTGCCTGAAGACCCTTACCCCCTGCAAGAAGCTCCCTTTAGATTAAAGCTGAGTCTTACTGAGACAGTACAGTTGGGAATCTTATAGTATGAAAGCTTATATTGCTTTCATGAAGATATGCAAGGCATTTGGTTTTGAGAGGTGTTCATAGCACACCTACCAGGAGCAGAGCATTTAATGAAATCCAATATAACTGATACAAATTAAGTAAAAGTTAGAGTTTCATTAGAGTTTAGAGGAACATCCTCAGATGTAAAAATAGGAAAGGATTTACAATATAGAAAAAGAGTATTCTCATACTCTGAGGCAGAGGAGAGTAAAATGCCTGCAGTCTGTCCAGAACTACCCCTCATCCTCTGCCCTGCAAAAGAAACCAGAATGGCCATTCCCTCCTCGGACATCATGTGGCTCAGTGATCAGGTCAGCAACACTCAGTTGCTGTGCTTGATACAGTCCTTTAGCATTTTGCTGTGATGGTATTTCATCTATAGTTGCTTAAGTTTAAAGGAAGCATGATTCTCTGTATATATCACATCTTGAGATAACTACCATGTCATACACCCAAGGATTCAAAGATTAAAACCTGATGCCATCTCCTTGACATTTAGGTTTAACTAAGTACCTATTTGAATAGCCTCCAGAAGACCTACTATTTAACTGAGCTAGGGAAGAGATGTAACTTCTTGCTATTAATAGCAGCAGTGTATATGGAAAGCTTCTTCCATGTTCATCCTGTTCTGATTCTGAACAGGATAAGGAATGCATGGGAGACTGTAATCATAGTACACTGTAGCACTTTGAATCTCTAAGGTGGTGTCCAAATATCAATTTATCTACACAGCTGCCCTTTTGAAGCTTACATCAATTACAAGCATGGGAAATGAGGGCAGCACTGTTGAGTGATTTCTTCAAGCTACACTGGCATCTCCTATCTGAGCCTGAAATATAGCAGAGGAGCCCTGGCATGCAGATTCCTGTCAACCTCCACTTCCATTTTTTATGACAATTCTGTAAAGCACTCATTTTCAGCAAGCACCAGCATCAGGATGACTAACCTTGAATGTTTAACAGCAAATTAATTTGATTCTCCAAGCTTTGCAAAAAGGCTGCTTCAGTGTTTTGCCATTTGTTTGAATCAGCTTTAAATAGAAGTCAGATGTGAAAGACTGTCACTGCTAGCAGCCTATGAGTACTTCACAACATCTAGGTGGGAATTCAAAAGGAATTCAGCAGATACCTATATTTGAGCTAGATGTCTAAACTTTCTTGATAGCTGATGAAGAGCTGATAGAAAATAGACACTTCCAGAAAGCAATTTAGCCCATCTATTTCAGACATCTACATTCAGATGAGATAAGTCACATCTGAAGTCCCTGTGTCCACTGACTGTGAAGGCAATCGGGGGTCCCTAGCTCAGCTACAGAAATATACCTTTTAACTATCTATAAGTAGCTGATATTTATCAAGAGAATTACCAAGATTTTAAAATACATTTTACCTTTGTTGGAAGCTTGGCTAAATATCAGGGATGAGATCAAATTTCCCCAGATGCCAGAGGACTGAAATATCAGGAAGAAGACCCCAAAGTATTGGTTGATTATGTCTTTCCCATTTTTTCCTGCTTTCTCAGCATATGAGTTGCCAGCAATGGTGAGGTAGGTGCATTTGGCAGACCAGAGTGGTGCCCCTCCTAAGCCCAGGATTATGGAGGTAGGGATTAGTGTGTACCTGCCAAAGAACACTTTATTTAGCATAGTTATCATCCATTAGCATAATAACCATTTGCCCAAAGATCCAGAGGCAAAAATAGACAGAAAAGAAATAGATTTATCCTTTGTGTGATTCAGTAAATGTACTAAATTGAGCCAGGAGAGGGCCAGTCTTAAGAAGTTTAGGATGTTCAAGCACTCCCAGCTCTATCCGCAGGCCAAGTCTGGGCTAGGCTAGGCTGGCTAGGTCTGTGCTTATATGCTCTGTCTTCTTATAACTGAGGATTAAATTGCACCTGCACTTCAGAAGATGGATCACAACAACTTTCCTCCACAGAGTTGCATCTGCTGTCACTAGAGAATGGAGGTAAATTGTTCAGTCACCTCCAAAATGGCAAGGCAGGAGCTGGCCTTCTGTCATCCCCTGCTTCCAGAGCCACTGGGTGGAAGACACCCTTTCCTTACCAATGTTTTTAAAAACAGTCCTAAAAGTAATTTGGATTTTAAGTGAAACATCTGATTATTTTATTTATTTATTTATTTATTTTTCTGCTACACATGTGAGTTTGAGGTGCAGCTTCCAGTGAGCAGAGGGATGTCTTCATTCTGGCTTTTTGCACATTTTCACCTCTCTGCTTCAACTGCTACTTGGTTTATTTACCCCTCTTTCTTGCAGGTAACACCTTTTGCATCCACAATGCAAAGCAGAGTAGGAATTGAGAAGAAAAAGAAGAATTTCACCCTTACTGATTTTGCTCAAACACCGTATGTTCAAGTAATTAAATTGTACCAGCTAGCGTAGAAGTTCCCTAAGGAGAATGTGATGTAGCAGCACATAGAGCCTGCAATGGTCCACTTGCAGCCCAGCTTCTTGATGAGGATTGGTGGGAGGAACATGGACGATAAGATGAGCGCAGCATAGAGAACACTTAGGGAGGCAACACCCAGCCCTTCTTCTGAGTGGAGACTGCTCTGCATGGACAAAAACAGTAGTAGAGAAAAATTTTATCACACTCATAATTTACTATGGTGTACAGAGAGTGGCTTCAGGCAGAAATAGACATGGAAGCTGGGGATTGTTATTACTTCCTTCTTTCCCCAAAGCAGCCTGGTTACGGATTTCTGATTTTCCTTGCAATTATAGCCCATTTATGAAAATATGATAAGCAGGTGATGATTGCTCAGATGCAAAGCTTTAGTAAGTCAGACTTTAGATTTTTTTATGTAATTTGTTTGAGTTTGTCTTTGAAAGCAAGCTGAATAGATAGCCTCTTTTCTTGGCCTTCCCTTTTTGTCTCAGGCAGGAATATCCTCAGATCTGCATTGCAAGGGCTGACTTAGCAAGACTGGAAGGTTCTTTGCTTTAAACTACAGGTTCAATAATTTCTAAATTCTTCAGAGCGCAAGGTCCACATATCCTAATATGCTCACTACAGCCCTTTGTAGTTTGAAGTTATTGATTCACCCACATTTTCCAAACGGAGGAATAGTATTTTACTGATCTATCTAGGATTTATATTTTTATGCTTAAAATAGTTCTCCTCTTGTCTTGATGCTGAGAAAGTTGCAATGAGAAGATCAAGATGCTGCTTATCAACATTTTCCTGTTTGCTTTCATTAAAAGCTGACAAAATCCAGTATGATTTTGGTAGAAGGAATGGATGCTGGGGTGGTAACACAGGAGAGTGCTGGAGGAGAGCAAGGCTGCACTAAACACTTCTAAGCCCTCCAGTGTCTGTGTGGTCCAGCTGTGCAGAACCATGCTGGCAGCCACACAGCACCCTTAATGAGAGGCAGGCATCAGGACAGTGAGGTGAGGAGGTTCTCTGTTGAGCAGTGTCAATGTATTAGACAATCAGAATTGTTGTTCTGTAAAAAGACAAAGAGGCTTCTTCATCACTGAGGTCCTATTTCTGAAACACCACATGCATGATTCTGTCAGCTACAGCTTACAAAAATTAGGAGCCAGGCCTCCTACATTTAGCTTAATTTTTAATGCTTTGTGGGTTTTTGGTTTTGTTGGATTTTTTGGGGGGGTGAGGAGATGTTGAAATAAATTATATAAGTATTTGATGTTTGTCATGCAGGCTACAATACAATAAAATAACGTGATTCTGATTCTGCCTCAGCAAGTCATCTCTGACCACTAAGACAAAACAGAGAGAAAGAGGGCTACCTTATGAATCAGCACCACTCGTTCCTGTTAGGGGAGGCTTTATGTTTCAGCACTTAACTTGAGCGTGCACAGTTTCAGATGATGGGGCTGACTTGCAGCTCCTTGGGTTTATCTTCCCCCACCTCATTAGTCTGCCCAGCTCTTAAGATCTCCATCCATTTTGGGGACTGTATTTGCAGAACTCTGAACTCAGAATTTGACAGTGTCAATGAACAGAAACTGCTCAAGGAGAGGAGAAGAGACAGAGATACACAGCTAGCAAGGATCTCTTCCTGAAATGACAGACTTTGTTATTGCAAACAAGTGCTTCAAGTTATGCATCAAGCTCCACCTCTAAAGCATACAGTTTTGATACCAGTGGGAAAATCTGACCCAATTTATCAGAGTCATCTTTTAATATCTTGCCTATTGTTGCTCATGGATGACTTATATCCATTTATTTGTCATTAGACCTGCAGTGTCTTCTAGTCAGAGAAGATCCTTCTTGTGTTTATCTACTCTGAAGTATTCATAGGCAGCAACTGTAACCCTCAATCTGTTTTTCTGGCTATGCTAAACCACCAGCTCTGTTGGTATCCTAAGTGTTCAAGCTGTTCTAGAAAGCCATCTCTGCTACTGTTTTTTAAGCTGCTCATGCCAATACAGGCCACAGCTGCTTTTGATTTAAACTAGTATTTATTATTATCATATCAGGATGCCAGGAATTATTATATTATTTTCTACTTAATATATTTAATTTATTTGGCATACATTTTTATTATTTTACATTACTGTATTATAAATAATAAAATTATATCAATTTTGAAATCTTCAAGAGAAGCCTTTCAAGAAATGGGATTTGTTTTCTATTTTGCTATATATAGTTTTAAGAAAAATCTCAGAGAAATTTAGTTTTCATTCAAGCAGCTTTTGTGAAACTAGAGAATACTCCTCTGACACAAGTGTTCAAACTATTTGAGAAGTACTAAAATAAAATATTTAGTAAGAGCTATGCATCTGGTTGAGGGATACTAACCCGTGCCAAATTGGTGTCCTAACCCACTTCAAAAAATATTGTGCATGCCTTCCTCACAGAAATAATTCAAAACTGGTGGTTTCAAACTACCAGCTGTTCTGATGCCCTTCAGGCCAGGTGTCCTGCCCACCAGTGGGAGATGCTCCACTTACCTGCAGACTCTGGAGTCCTCCGTAAGCAGTGAAGAGAAGTAAAAATCCAAAAGAAATTATCAAAACATTCCTAAGATTCCTTTCCATGTTGATTCATACAAGACGAAGGTCTGTTGGTGCACAGAGATGATCCAGTTATTCCACAGGATGCTTTGAGTTGGAAAAAAAACAACTTCTGTTTTGTGGGAACAGGTCACTTCTTGCTGTCTTTGTAGAGGAAAGAGTTGTTAATTATTTGAGGATTGGCCAGTGAACTTTACTTTTTCCAATACTGAAAATTCTTTACAGAGTTGTTACTCATTTACCTGTTGTGGCCAAGGAGCTAATGAGTGCTCCCAAAGGACATCTACCAGGTTTTATTAGGTAGGTATATAAGTCAATTGCAACACTTGGACCTGTTTTAGTATTGCAGTCATACAGTATATGGCTCTCAGTACCACAGAAGAAAAAAAATGCAAGCAGTGAAATGCCTGTCTGCTATAAAGATACACTAATCTACAAAGGGCAAAGATTCAAAGATCATACTGGAATCTATATTAGGCCTATTGCTTAACTAAGGTTATAAAAGAGTACTAGGAAAGGAGATTGTGTTACAGTGTTGCCTGCATACACCAGCTCTGTAGGTGCAGTGTAGCAAACCAAGGTTGCTGGCTGCATGGCAAGTGGGAGAATCTTCCTCAGTGGTGAACCCCGTGGCTTTGGTGTTTCAAATTTACCAAGTCATACTCATGAATATAAATTTCCCCATCTTTCCCCTCAACTCAGAAGACAAGAAGAAACATGAGTTTAGCAGAGAAATGAAAAATCAACTTCCTCTCCTCCAGACCCTAGAAAAAAGCCTTTGCAGAATTTATCTTACTGGGACAATGCTGCCCAGGTCAAGGAGTGAAAAGTTTCCTCCTAGACAGCTCCTCCTAGACAGATTGCTTTTTGTTCTTGACTCATTGGCCATCCTGTGAGTCCTGACTGAGGTTTTGAATTTTCCCCTTCCAAGCATACAAAGTCCTCCGTGCTCCTAAGCTTTTCTGGGCGAACAGACCATCTGCAGACCCTCCTGCAGCTGTAGCAGAGAAGGGATTTGAACTTGAGAACAAAATGGAATCCAAAATAGTCTATGCTATAATGTAGACTTGTTCAAGCAGAGGTGGTCTGTAGTGTGGCAGTAGTGTCTAGTGGGAATGCACAGTTAACAGTTGGTCTAAACACCACTAGATGGCAGAATTTTGCTTCCCATAGGGATGCTGGCGGGTGAGGGGAGAAAGCTTTAATTTATTACTTAATTTGATACATTAAAGAGGTCACAAATAGTTTCTACTTTAGAGAAAATTCTAGTATGTGCCTCTGCTTTTTTTTTTTTTTTGGTCTTATAATCTTGAATGAAATAGTGCAGAAAACACAATCTTTTAATTCTCTATTTTTAATGGTGCTTCTATATAGCAAATCTAAATAGTGAAGTACTAGCTTTTTATTTTACAAACTACTATACTCAGCATACCAACTCTATCAATTCGATCACCATTCGACTCCTGTTTTGCAGTATTTATAATCCTCTACAAGGCTTTTAAACCAAACTGGTGGTACTTTTCCCAGTCTTTTATGTTTACAGACACTTGCAATTTTCAGTTGGATGTCAGAAGTTTACACTTGGTGATAAATGCTTCTTTCTGGTTTGGATGCCTTAGAATAATCTACAAAATTCTAGGCGTGTGAGACTGGCTTCAAAGCACTGGAAAAAACGAATGAGAAAATGTAATTTCTTGACATTAGTAGTAATAACAACACAGCTTCCAAAAAATTAGCACTAACCGGGCACTATTTTTAAAGTGCAGTGTTGGATAGGTTATCTGATCAGCACTTCTGCTCTTTACTCCTAGCTCAGTCATGTCCTCTTAACAGCAAATGTCAGAGTGTATGGAGGATGGTGGGGTTTTTGTGGAGGGTTTTTTTCTTCTCTCCTTTTGACCTATCAAAGACATTTTGGCCTCTTTGACATCCCTTGCCGAGAGCGTTGGGTTATCCAAGGGCCTGCTCCTGACCCCTTCCTTAGGAACGTGCAGACTCTCTACCAATGAGATCTGATAAGCCTGTAGAGCTCTTCCTTTGGTACCAGGCGGCGGGAGGCTCCTGCAGGCCTGCTGTGTATCGTGCCTGACACCACTTTCATTCTTTCTGCCAGTCCAAGATTAAGTGAGTCTCGGGAGATGTGCACTGCATTTTAGGCTTAGCTTTCACACAGGAGACTGCAGCCACCAAACTGAAATGCCTCACAGAGCACAATCACAAAAATAGAAGATAGAAGAGTTTGCTTGAATTAATTACTCCATCCCACAGTCCATCATGTTTCTTTTCCTGTGTTTATTTTCTCTGTGTAAATGAGGGCAGCCTTTGCTTAAAAGATTACAGCACCAGAGACTAATCTTTGGAGGGTTTTTTGCTTCATAATTTTCATTTTCCTATATACTCTTTGCTGGTTAAATACATTGTTAAGGCAGTTACTTTAACAACAACCACAAAACAAAAAAAGCTAACACTAACGGAATAGTCACCATAAGGTTTTCTGACTTAGGAGTCTTTTAATTTATTAGCTCCTTAGTAGCACCCAGTATCCTTTGAGTCTTTCTGTAAAAAGGATGAGTGTTATGGTTTGGCCAGCCATATAATATAGGCAAGTATTGCAAGAGCTGTTCTTGGGGGTCTGGTCCTGACTGGCACTGATCTATGAGGAGCTTACTCTGCGCAAGAGGTGGGAAGGACATGTGCTTGCCTATGGATGCCTCCAAACACAAGGACAGGGAGAATGAACAGTGAAGACAAAGTCTGCATGTTCCTTGGAGAAATTAAGAGATTCTGTCTTTTTTCAATGCTGAAGGCATTGCAGATGTACTTGAGAGCAACATCAGGACTGAGCCTGTTGTCCTGAGCTGTAGTGACACTACAAAGCCTACTGGCTTTGGCTAATACTACAGAGCATACTAGCTTGATCTGGAGCTCCTAACTGTGGCAAAACCAGCAGACTGCATGGTCTTTGTTGGTAAACCACAGAGAACTACCTGGCTCACACTCCCAGCTGCATGAACCCATGCTATTGCTACTTAATCCATCATGTTGAACATATGAGGCCAGAATTGTCTTTCCAGAGATTCTTGTGGGGCAGTTAGGAGCCTCCTGTGACTAAGCTACCACCACCCCAAGTGTTCACCTTCTGGGGCTGTCACACAGGAGACACTCTTGTTGAGCTGTAGCAGTGTGAGTGACCTGAGGAAATAAATTACTCCTCCAGAGAGTGGGGTACCTATAAAACATAAGATGGATGCATTGAGTAACGCTAAATGATCTAGATACGAAAAATCTTTCACAGTTCACAGCTGACATGGCTGACTCCTAGCAGATGCCCAGGCATATTTACCTCTACTGCAGCCACTCTTATTTTCCAAAGTCCTCTTCTCCCAGGAAATTAGCCCATCCTGATATACCTGCAGTGTTCCCACCTGCCAGACCAATGTCTGACTTCTCCATTTTTATTAGCACCTTTGGAAGAAAAAGGGGCTAATTGAAATTTAAAGTTTCTTGGATCAGGTTGCCTATACAGCATTTCCTTTCTTGCTGTGAAAGCTTGTCCGTGTTGCTCTGTTCTTCCCCTACTTTTTCACCACTGTTGGTGCCTTGCTGATTTTGGAGTTGAGGCAGGGATGCTAAATGTGACATGCAAAGCCCCGTCAATCCTGACAAGAGTTTAATGGTTTTAGGAGTTTACCTTATTGAGGGGTAAGCTTATCCATATTCTCAAGGCTATGCTCAGAACTGCAAGGGTCACATCACATCTGGATTATCTCAAGTGTTTGTGAGGTTGTGCCAATGATGTGCTGATGAGTGCTGGTTGGGGCTGAAAGGACTGAGGTGCAGTTACCTGTGATTGGTGGCCTTAGAAAATAAAGGCTGTTACATGCTGGAAGAGGGTCAGAAATCAGATGTGAGATCCATAATACAACAGTATTACAACAGTAATACAATAGAGACAACAGTATGCAATTTCTGTCTGAATCCTACCTGCTCAGGAATGCTAAATGTGACATGCAAAGCCCAGTCAATCCTGACAAGAGTTTAATGGTTTTAGGAGTTTACCTTATTGAGGGGTAAGCTTATCCATATTCTCAAGGCTATGCTCAGAACTGCAAGGGTCACATCACATCTGGATTATCTCAAGTGTTTGTGAGGTTGTGCCAATGATGTGCTGATGAGTGCTGGTTGGGGCTGAAAGGACTGAGGTGCAGTTACCTGTGATTGGTGGCCTTAGAAAATAAAGGCTGTTACATGCTGGAAGAGGGTCAGAAATCAGATGTGAGATCCATAATACAACAGTATTACAACAGTAATACAATAGAGACAACAGTATGCAATTTCTGTCTGAATCCTACCTGCTGCAATCCTCTGATGATTTAAAACACCACTTCTAAATTATTAATAGTATGCTTTTCCTGCTAATACTTCTGGTTGGAAAAGACCTTTAAAATCATTGAGTCCAGTCATAACCTAACTCTACCAAGTCCAGTACTAAACCATGTTCCTAAACACCACATCAATATATCTTTTAAACACCTCCAGGGATGGTGATTCAGCCACCTCCCTGGGCTGCCTCTTCCAGCATTTAATTACTCTTTCAGTGAAAAAGTTTCTTCTAATATCTATTCTAAACCTCCCCTGGCACAACCTGAGCCCATTTCCTCTTGTCCTCTGCACAGGCTTAATCTTTCAGTACAGTACTTGTTGAGGTGTGAGTTTTGTTTATGTCAGCCATTATTTCAAGACAAAGTTACATGTGCTGGTATAGTTCAGATGTTTAGTCAGGTTACACTTAAATCTTTGTTTTGTTGCGAAACATTTTCTTAAATCCAATTTGGTCTTAAGCATTTAGACTTTAGACTTTATTCAGTCTTTAGGTTGAATACAAACTAACAGGAAAGTGAATGCAGTAATGTTTATGGTTTGTTTTTTTCCTTTTTTTCAAAGCTGAAGCCATTTAAAAATAAATACAAGCTTGAATTACCAGTGATATGGCCAAATATCTATTCTGAAACCATTCTTATCAA